TACCACTGCTGGTAGAGACCAAAAGCCAAAGGGACGCAATGTAGGGACTACACAGGCAGGTCTCACTGTACCCCAAGGCTGCTCCTTCCTGTGCCCGAAGCGCCCCTAGGGCAGCAGGGGCACCACGGGACAGAGCCAGGGGGTACAGCAAGCGCCCAGCCGGGCTCGAGTGCCTCACGCTGCCGCAACCCGGCTGCTGGCACAAGGGGAGCACCCACCCAAGCTACCAGCACCCAGCCAAGGGCACCCGCCACCCGAGGGCCGGCCAGCACGGCCCAGGGCAGAGCCCAGGGCAGCCCCCAGGGCAGGCAGGACCTCAGTCTCGGCAGGGCGGCGCAGGGCAGAGGGTGCCGGTATGGGATGAGAGAGCAGGAGGCGCCGGGTTGAGGCGGGAGCAGAGGCGGAGGCCGAGCCGCGGCGGGGGGACGGCGGAGGCGCAGGCCAGGCGGCCGAGGGGGAGCGCACAGCAGGGGGAGGCGGCAGGCCGGGCGGCGGGGCAGCGGCGAGCAGTGAGCGCCCGGCTTCCCCCAGCCGCTCCGGCGGGTCCCTACCTTCTCCCGGCCCGCTCCGGGCGCCTCGGCCGCTCCGGCCCTGCGGGTCCCGCTCCCGCCTCCGCCCCCACGGCCGCCCGGGCCCCGGCCGGCCCGGCCCCCAGCGCCCGCCTGGCCTCGCAGAGCCCCGCCTGGCTGCCTCCGCACGGCCCGGCCAGACGGGCGCGGCGTGGCGGAGCTGGGGGGAGGAGCTGCTCCACGGGGCCGGGCCCGCAGCCTGGGGGCTCCGGGACCGCGTGGCATAGGCACATCCCCTTTGGCCCCACGGAGCGAGGCAGTGCTCCCAGCGGTCCACGGGGACACCCCGACGTGGGACACGCTGCCCAGCGTGGGGTGCAGCCATTCCGGTAGCCGGGAGGCTGAGCACAGCACCCGTGGTTGGGTGCTTGCAGAGCACCCAGGAGTTTGGTGTGGAGCAAGACAGGCAGCTGTCTCTTCCACTTCTGCCTGACAAAGTGAGGGTTCCTCGCAGACACAAGCAGCACCGGGGCTCTCCTTTCCCGCTGTAGCTTTCTCCTGGGTGTCTCTCGCTGCTTCGTGGGCTGACAGCTGACAAGTGGGACTGTGCTGTCCATCTGGTGCAGTCTCGGTTTTGCTGCTAGGAGCTGCCTTGACTGCTTAGCTACACTGTAAGATCATGCCAGAGCACCGAGATGGGGAAAAACAAATAGCTCCAGACAGAAAGCCGTGGAAGGGAGGGCCGCTTTGTGCATCACACTCCGGCTGGGCACACCAAGTGCAGTATGTCCTGCGCTACTTTTCCTGGCAGGCCAAAAAAAGCCTCTATGCCCCAGGGGATACCATGCCTCAGCAACACCCTGTAAAGCCCGGAGTCTCTCAGCCCCCATAGCAGTTACCACCGTTTGGCACTTGTTAGTGCATTTAGCTACACTTCTCCATGGCAACCAGGCAGCTACCAGCTTGGCTTGCCACCAGCCAGGAGCGCGGTATGCAGGGTGCGCTGCACGCACTGCTGTGAGTCGTGTCGTGTCGGTACATGCACAGGCTGGGCGCTGACTCCCCGCCTGCTCTCCTGAGGCAGGGACCCGCTGTGCTGTCATGGCTTGATGCTGTTGGCAGAGTGCCTGAAATTGCAGAGGGAGCTGGGTGCTCTCTTCCCCACAGGTATGAATACTTGTGTATGGTTCGCTGGAGCTGAAGAATGGACACCAGCCCCTGCCACAGGGCTCTAGATGTTGGCTTCTCACCCTATATTTCTGCTGGTTTTGACTGCTGAGACAGGTTTTGACCTTTTTTTTTGTCATGCCACTCCCTCCTGCAGCCTTTCAGGTCACTGCCATGCCGAGTTCTCTGCTGACATCCCCAGCAGAGCTTCCTCACTCTTCTTTGAGTTCAGCTACTTGTGTGTTCACTTTATCTGCCTCCTCCATGCCAGCCACATAAAGCAGCATGCATTGCATGCACAGTCTCATCCGCCCTCCACAGTGGGGTTTCTGCTCATCCCCCAATACTCACAGGTGTGCTTGTAAGAGTTTTGGTTCATTCTTCTGGGCCTGGCTTCCATTTGTTTACATGTTTCTCCAGTGCCTGCATGCAGATCTGGTCCCCTCATCTCAGAAAACTTAAAAGAGAATGGAAGAAGATTTGGAGGCAGGCGGTTATAGATGCTCAGAGGTGTGGGAACAGACTGTGCAGTGAACAAGTGTGTAGGCTGGGACTCTTCAGCTTGGAAGAAGGACGTAGGGTGGAGGAAGAGATCTACAAAATCATGAGTGGCCCAGAGAGGATAGGGAGGATCGGCTGTTTGCTGTGTCTTCTGACACAACCCCAGCAACTGCTTTTGCCTTCACTGGAGTCTCAAAAGAACACAAAACCACTGCACCACAGATGTTACGTTTAAAGGTTTAGCTCTGGTATGCTTCTTGCCACATGGGGGGCTAAGTTCATGGCAAGCCTGCGAGAGTCGTGCTGAAGCGAGTGCTGCCTCAAGAAACATTTTGTAATCATGTTTTCACATGGAGAGTTCGGCCACAGCCAAGTGGAGCTTTACCAAACTGTTCAACACAAAAATATTCAGAGCTGGGAGGAGAATGAGCTGGACAAATCCCAGCCCACAGACAGAGTCGGTCCTCCAGGAGCTTGTATTTCACAGGAACCCTCTTGTAGAGGAAAAAGCTTGTGACTGAGATGAATTTTGCTGCTGTGCTGCCAGCTTCACAGTAGCCTGTGAAGGTGAGTGACGTGGCCTCTTGTGCTGGCTGTCCTGTTCTAGAGAAGAGCTCTCTGACTCTGCCCGGGAAAGTAAAGGGAATTGAGATGGTTCTGCATTTTCTAGGACCACAAGAGGGCAACATGAGAGCACCCTGCAGCCAGCAGCCTCAGCAAGGCGACGGCTTGTGATGCTGATGGCATGGGCAGCTCTGTGCGGGCTGAGCATCACCCTGGCCAGGGACTGCCCAGCTGAAATACCCAATTGAGGGCTGCTCCCTGGGAGCCCTTTCCTTGCTCTCAGCTTCACACACATCCTCAGAGGTGAGTGGTTAGCTCAGCAGCTGAGCTAGTACCATGGCTGGAGGCAGCAGTATCTTCCTGCATATGGGTTGGAGAGGTGATGACAGCAAACCCTTCTGCATGCTGCATGGGGCCAGGCTGTGAGATGAAGGGTGGCCTCCCTTATTCTGCCTGCATGTCCACCAGGAAATCTTTTTGGACAAATGTGCACTGACACGTGGCTTCAAACAGGAGGCTCCAGGATCTGGAGTGATGCTGCTGGGCTTGCCAGGGAATGAGGGGTTAATCCACACAGAAGTTTGAGGATCTTGGCCTCACCATCTTTTTTCACTTTCATCACAAAAAGATAGAAAACTACAGAATGTGAATTCTCTTGTGAATATGGAACTGGGCACTGTCTCCAGCACACACTTGCTTCTGCAGACCAAAATCCCTAACAGCCAAGGTTAAGTGCATTACCATTCCTGGCACTTTTTTGCAATAGCCTGTATAAATACTGTGTGAAGGACAGTTTGCTCTGCCTTTCCAATAACAGACATGACAAAGAAACAGCTTCTGTTAGCAGGCAGAGCTACAAGAGTGTGGGTGCTCCTAGGGCTGAAAATGCCACTAGCATCTTGTAGCAGACACAGAGGAGAAGGTGATGGTGAGGGATGGAGTGCAGAGTATTACATATTCAGTAAGGTGGTAGGGGCTGCTCACAAATGATGAAGAGATGTTTGCAAAAGAGGAGGAGCAAGGAGATGCCTACGGGACACTTTTTGCACAGGCTTGAGCCACGGAAAGAGCCAGTGCAATGGAGGGCTGTGTGGGTAAGATGAGGATAACCAGCCAAGTACCTCAGGCACATGGGTGGGACTGTTTATCCCTCTGGTGTTATTTTCTATGAAGAATGCTAGAAAGGTTTTACCTGATTAAGGTATTTCTACCATGGAAATAATCAGCTTCATTGCTAGTCTTGCTTCCACTCGAAACCTGCCCACACAGCCTAAGCAGCATTTTAAGGCCCAGCCTGTAGTACCCCACCTCACTGATCACATCTTCCCTAACTCAATTACAACTCACTGGCATCATACATGACATTTTCTTGTTGCATATTGAGAAGACTAAGGTTAAGGTATTTGTCTCAAGGGAACATCATATTAGCTGTCTTGCACTTCTACTTACTACCAGTTGTCAGGCCTTACCTAGTTGCTCCTGTGCTCAGACTAACAGTATGTGTTGCCTAGAGCAGACCCTTTAGTGAACTATCTGGTTTGGGTCTGAAGACATAAGGAGATGGGATAATCCTTGGCTTTTGCCAGCATTTCAGCCTGACTACACATAATCAAAACAGCTACCAGAAAGTCCCATCTACACCTCAAGATAAATATCAGCCAGGAGATGACTTTGGTCCACTACCTCCCAGTGATGCATTTATACTAGTGGCATTGCCAACCAGTGATAGCTGTGCTATGGGTGGGACAAACTGTGTTCAGAGCTGGTCACATCACTGACTGCTTTAAAACTGGCTTCCCCCTAACTTCAGGGTCTACAAGCTGCAAGCATTGTTACCTGAGGGAGAAGCATGGCACTGGCACGCAGAGGGCTAGTGCCAGGACTCACATGCCCAGCTTGTGAGTGCAGCAGTCAAAGACAAGGGCCTGGATTCATTCTCTCTGGTATACACTAGAGTCTGGGCATCTCACATGGGCTGTAGCAACTAAGTCTGGGAGTGAAGGGAGCACAGCTCTCTGAAATGAGCAAGTGTCAGAAGAGAGCTCAGCAGCTACATACTGCCCAGGGAACCGCAGTGCAGGCACATTTTGTTTTGAATGAGTTCACAACTTGCTCAGGGATTAAATACTTCCTTGTTTAATAACCTAATCATTTGGGCTGGTTTCATGCTGGACTGTTGGAAAGTTCACTGGCTGGAGTCATCATCCAGGCCTCATGTAAATGGCTTCCCCAGCTCTCAGCCAAGTGAGCTGTCCTCATCTTCTGGTCCCCCAGCGGGTGGCTCTTGGCACTACCTTCTTGTGAAGGGCTTTGTTGTTCATGCGTGTTCCTGAGTTTTTACGCTCCGGGGGCTTCCTCACTACATCTTGTTTCAGCTGGAAATGTACCTGGAGAGAGAACAAAACTAACTGTGTTACACCATGTGTGTGCTCTGCTGGCTCAGGGCTCTGCAGGACCTGCCCCTGCCGCTAGCCTTCAGAGGCTGACTCTTGAGCCAAGATAAGCAGTAAGGGGCTTCAAATAGTGTACTGATAGAATGGGAACTCAGTTCTTAAATCAGCTGGAAACATTCCCCTCCCCCCCCCCCCCCCCCGAAAATGTACTAACAATCAGCCACATTTCTTATGCAGAGAGATGCTCCTGTGGCAATGTGATGTTGTAGGACTGTTTGGAAGATGAGCTGTGAAAGGCAAGAGACTGAGCTATGCTCTTTATTCATCTTTTCTCACCAGAGAGTAGAGAAATAGCATTGCTGTGAATATTTAATAGACAGGATGGTTTAGCCCTTTTTCAGTTGCATCTCATTAGCTGAATCCTGCTTAATCAGTCTTTCAGCAACCAGTGCTTCCAGTAGATCCAAGCAAAAAAAATTCCAGGAAAGAAACCTCCATCCATTACAGCCATGCAAGTAGATACAGGTGGGAGAGGGAGATAAGGAGCATGCAGGACACAGCATGAGATAAACGCAGAATGGGGAGGCCACACAGAAAGGTGAAACGGGATGGGGCTGTGTGGGCTTCTTGGGGGAGGAATGGGGTGAATAGTTGGTAGGGAAGGGAAGGTGCAGCAGGGGCAGAAGGAAATGGGGACAAGGGGGCTGCTGTGAGGGGAGATCTGCAAAAATCAGACCATCAGAGGACAAACCAGTCTTCTACAGTAACATGATAAAAGGAAAATCAGTTCAAAAAGGAAAGCCAAAGAGCTGGGTGCGTAACCTAGCAAAACAAAGGCTGAGACTGTGCTTGACAGCTCCCTATATATACATCAGGGAATAAATACCAGGGAAGAAGAGGAACTATTTAAAGCACAACATTGGCATAAGAACAAACAGGGACAAGCTGACCATAAATAAATTTAAGATGAAAATTAGAAGGTTTCTAGTCCTGAGAAAAGGGCAGCCCTGGAAGAACTTCAGAGGCTGGGTAGGGTGGGATGAAGAGACAGAGGGTGCGAGAACCACCGCAGTGTATTTACAGCAGAGCCTGACCAGTGTACATGTAGTGAAGCAAAAGATGTGCCAGGATGCTGCAGTCGTGGGGTTCTTGCTGGCCCTTAGAGAAGGCTACATCCATGGTGCCACCACATTCACAAGGTGGCAGGAATCACCATCCACTGTTTTAATAACCAATTTCTAGTTATCCTGTCTGCCCTCAGAAAGGCACTTTAGGGGCCACATGGTGTCAAGAGCACTTCTCCCAGAGGTGCTTGACTGTTCTTTCTTTGCACCAGGTTCTACCTATCTTGGTTGCTCTTGGCAGAAAGAAAGGCAGATTTCAGCCTCTTGCTACCAGTCTGGTAGCGTGTTTTGTCCTGGGCAGGATGGAGATGACAGCAGAGTACTGAAACCCACAGAGCCAGAGGGATAGCAAAACCTCAGGGAACAGATGCTGTCCCCACATCATCATGTCCTGAAGAACACAGGGGATGGAGAAGAGCTGAAGAGCTCCAGACAGCCAGAGGCTCTCCGCAGGGCCAAGAAGCAAAAGGACAAGGAGCTGGCACAGCAGCCCAATGCAGGCTGTGAACCCTCAGTAATGAACTGGGAAGGCATCATTGCCTTCACCCTGTCCCTCTCTGTGAGCTGTAGAGAGCCCTGTGTCAGCCAAAGACACCCTGTAGCCACTGGAAATGCTCTTCATCCCATCTACTTTCTCTACTGCTCACTAGACATCATTTGCTACATTTCTTTCTCTGTGGGGTGAAGACATTTTGGGATTCCCTTGTGAGTATGCAGCCTGACTCACCAATGAAGGTGCAGCTGGGCCCACGGTTGTTGTGATTGTCTGGGGCTGGTATCCCTCTGCAGAGGCCGTGACAGTGTAAGTGCCAGGCAGCAGCAGCCGGAAATAATCCCCTGTATTACCTGGAACACAAGATGGGAAGAGAAAGCACTCAAGATGTACAAGGAGCAGTGCAAGAGGTAGTCCAGTAGGTCTTGCCAAGTGTACTTCCCCGAGGATGTGCAGCCTTCAAAACCCAGGGAATTTTTTGCCTTACTTCCAAATCTGCTGGCTACTGCAAGGCTGGATTCATACTGGTAGACTGCAAGTGATGTCTCATTAATGCCAAGGAGTAGAGGTCAGTCTACATATAAAAACTAAATGAAAGGGGACAATACAGGAGCATTTGCCATGCCGGTGCAGGGAGGCTACAAATCTAAGAGCTCACCAGTCAGCTTCCGTCTGACATAACACAATCTCTAATACCTGTCATATACATTTTTGCCTCATTTGGATTATCAGCAGGGTTTTAATTGCTCATCAGCTCAGCTGCTACCTGATTCTCCCTGCATAAGGACCTCTCAGGAGCACTTTGACAGTCCGTGTACTGGTGTGGTTAGGGACAGGGGCCAGTCAACAGTTAACAGTGAGGGAGCAGCCCATTATGGATTAATTTGACAATTTGAGTATATTCCCATCTATGGAACTGGATGGGTTTTGCAAATTCGAGTAATCTAACAGGCATCTTGTGTTATTTTGGCTTAGGTGGGGCTAACTGGTAGGACTGAGACACCTGAGTCAGGGGCTTCCAAGGGAAAAGAGGGAAGGTGGCTGACAGGTCAAAGGGAATGATTTTCCCCTTCTGTTCACTCCCAGGGGGGCTGCACCTGGGAACCGTGTCCAGTTTTGGTGACCCCAGGTCAACAGAGATGTGGGAGAACCAGAGCTCCTGACCCACAGGGAGAGCTCAGGCCCCACAGGCAGAGCTGCGGGAGATGGGTGGGCTCAGGCTGGCGGGGAGGAGGCACAGGGGATCTGCTCACAGCTGGCAGCTCCTTGAAGGTGCTGGGGCCAAACCCCTCTGAGTAGTGCCAGGCAACACAGAGAGAGCAGCGGCCACAGATGGCAGCTTGGGAGCTTCAGGGTGAACCTGTGAAGGTGGTGCATCCCTGGCACAGGACAGCAGAAAGGCTGTGAAATCTCCATCCTTGGGGATCAGTGAGAATCAGCTGGAGGGAGCAATGTCTGATCAGAGCCAAGAGGGGGGAAAATCCTCTACAGGGGGCTGTAGAGGAGACCCAGAGGGCTCTTGCAGGCAGCACCTCTGTGATTCTGTCCTGTTTATAGGTATACCTTCAAACTTGAATCCAGCACATTGTGATTTTGTGATCTCTTGCACTCTGCCCTTTCCTATGCAGGCTGGCATAATAAGTGCCAAATATTAGTGTTACTGAGTCACAGACCTACGGCCAGGAGTTTTGATGATTTCATAGTCTGACCTCTGAAGAGCTGGAATATTGGCTATTTTCTGTAGCCAGTCTGTAATGCCTGGTCCAGTTGGAGAAGGGTGTTTATGAAAAGGAGGTTAAAATAGGCCAGCAAAGGAGAAACCACTACAACTTGGATAAGCTCAAGTGGCACTTCATTCTCAGTCTAAATTTGTCTGGCTTGAACTTTCAGTCTTTCATCTTGTTCTGCTATCGTGCCCTTTGCTATCAGCTATTTAGTCCTTTGTAGATAAATAATTGAGTAGATTATTCCTTCAGTCTTCTCTTTGGTTATATACAAATGCCTTTTCTTCTCTCTCTCAGATAAAACAGGATCTTACTTTCTGAAGTCCTTTACAATAAGGTTTACATTTTAGTTCTCACCTTTTTCTTTCCTAAATTTTCCTAAGCTCCTGCTAGTTCAGATTGCACAGACACATTTCTCATAGCTAGTGTGTTTGGGACGCAAACCATGCTGGCCACACATACAGCCTCGCCTGCTAACATCCTCCCACGTACCCAGGTAGCCTCCAAGAAGCTGAATCCAAAAGGGAGAGCATGCAAGGGGACCGACAACCCACCAGAGGTGATATCATGGCTGATTCCCTGAACGGAAATCACTGCTCCTGCAATGCCGTTGTTGTTCTCGTCTGACACCATCCCTTTGATGCCCTGGTGAACCTGCAGGGAGGGAGACAGACTGCTGGGTCAAAGAATCCCCTTTATTAAAGAGGGTACTTTGGTAGAGGTACATTGGAGGAAGGCATAGCTCTGGAGACAACCCTACTTTTCCCCATACCCTTGGCTCTCCTGGTTCTCCCCAGCAGAGCCAGTCTATGACACAACAGCCTCCACAAAGGCCACCAACAAGAGCACCCAGTGAGCTCCATGGCCACCTCCCTTCCACCCCTGGTGCCTACTGGTCTCCTACCACCAGAGCCCATGGAGGCCTGCAGGACAAGTGTGCAGGTTTCTGGAGTGCCCCCTTACCTCTTCAATGAAAGCAACAAGGGCCTCCCGGTTGGCCATCCACTGCCGCTCCAGGTCCTCTTCAGGGGGGAACTTATTGCAGCTCAACTCCAGGGTGATTTCAAAGCAGTTGGTGTAGAGGTAATTGAAGTCCTGCATACCTGGAAAAGAAAAGCCTGTGTGCAGGGGAATGCAAAGCCGCCTTCCCTCTCCAGTCCTGTGTCCCAGGCACCCTGGCTTCTGTCTGTCTTCAGCCAGAACTGTTAATTGTTCAGCTCTTCCTCTTCATTCCACAGGTGCAGCCTCCTTCCTCCATGACAGCATGACTAAAGCCTTCTGCTTTCTTCATTGTGCAGTACACAGCAGGTCTCTGCAGCCCTCAGCTATTTCTGTGGCTCCTTCCCAAGCCACCTCCCACCCTCCCAAGCCATTTCCCAGTCTGAGATGCAAATACCAGAATGGTGTCTAGTGAATGGGCACAGTGCTATCATCACAGCCCCTCCCCAACCCATCCTTATGTTCCTGGGGTTTCTCATCTACCCCTTCACCACTTCTCAGCTCAGCCCCTTGCTGCAGATGGTGCTCAGATGCTCAGCCCTTACCTTTGCTGAGAGAGTACCAGGATGCCCCATTCGTGATGCCATCAGCAAAGTAGTCCCCACAGTTCCAGCCACGATGCATCCAGCCATGGGCATACGAGTAGGTCTTGGCCAGCTAGAGAGAGAGCAGCTGTGGTCAACTCTCCAGCCCCATGCAGCTGGGGATCCTGGCTGGCTATGGGCAAAACATCCTTCCTCCTGCACAGGCTTTGCTTGGGAGCATCGGAGAGAAGTCAGATAGGAGACAGCTCCTGCATTTTACTGCTGTGAAACACAACACGAGGTGGCCAGGACCTCTACAAAATGTAGGCAGATGAAGGTGGAGGAGGAGGAACAGAAATCTGGAGAGCTGGAGGCTTGTTGATGGCACAGACAGCTTCTGCCCTACTCCCTAAAAGACAAGCGGGAGTGGAGGGCACTGGGCCCACGCAAGGGCGCTCAGCTGGCCCCCACACAGCAAATGGCACTACCAGAGGGAGAAGATATGTGAGGAAAACGAACCAGTATTAGTTCTGATGCAAATACCAGATATATCAGGGGAATTTGGATTAGGAAATAGTTTGGGCAACTTCTGGTTCTAGGAACTGCTTGTTTATTGCCCTTATTAAGATTGCTATTTATTTTTAGACATGAAGGCAGGGCTAAAATTGGGCCACTGCATCCAAAGCCTGTCCTCTATGTAAGATACAGTTTAAAAGAGACTGGTGTTCACATTTTCTGATGCAAACCCTATATCCTTGTATTATGGTTCAGATGCTGGAGTAATCTCGTTCTGTCAGCAGGACAGCAGTTATTTCACTGCATTTCTGACTTCTGAGGCTATGTGGGTATCATTAGCCTAGGCCCCAGACTGCACCCTCTACACATTTGGGTCCGAGCGCAGCTCTGATCCCAGCAGGTCCTGACAAGCTCCGGTACAGCCTGAGCCTCCAAGAGAAGGCTGAACTCCAGCTCAGTCTTATTTTTCTCATTAACTGTTCTAACACAGACTTGCTTTTTCTTGTGCTGGTATTTCCTAATGGAAGCAGTGATGGAAGGCACTGTTTTCTGGGACATTTAACAATGGATAAAAACCACAGGCTTCAGCTAGTGCTAGCAGGATCAGCAACACAGACTCATACAGTCCCTGATGTCTGCCTTTGCTCCCGGTGCTTTTCTTTGTTCTACTTATTCTTTACCATCTGCAAACCTCTGCAGGTGGGCACTCACCTCCCTTATGCTGCTCTCAGCAGACCCCCAGCCAGACCCTGCCACTGCTCTAGGAAAAAAAAACCCAAATATATGCATGCTATGATGGTGTGGCAAAGCTGGGAGCAGGCTTCAGCTCTGGGAGAGTGGGGTGGCACTGATGGTACTGGAGTTATGGGTAAACCAGGCATGGCACAAAGAAAAGGGCTCCCGAGGGTTAAGACTGACTTGTCCGTGTGGTAGGACCTGGCTCATGAGCTGGTGGCTGGCAGAAATGCTGTAGTCTGCAAATGGTTATTTCCAACACGTTTCTTGGCTCAGCTCCTGCATGAGGCAGTGAGCAGAGATTCCCAGCCAGCTCTCACATACTGCACCCTGGCAGGGCTGCAGGAATGCTCACACACACCAGGGCCATGCTCACCTTCTGAAACAACTTGTCATCAGGAGTGGGAGTGTTGACCGTGCGCCGGTGGCTCCTGAACCGCTGGTCCTGAGACTTGTCATAGGGGTAATTTGCCACCACTGCTCCACCGTGCAGATTGGCGGAAAGCACAAAGTTGTAGCTGCTGATCCACTGGATCACAGCCAGTGTCTCTGGCTCCACCTGTGAGGAGAAGAGGGATGGGAACAGGGAGAAGAGCTCAGCTACCTCTGGGCCAGCTGCTGCTCCATGCTGGGCTGTGGTGTGATTGGTCACATCAGACCCTGACCTGCAATGTGCCTGCTTCAGCCCTTGCAGTTTCCTGCATTCTCTGATATACAGAGCAGGCTCCTCCTGTGCATACCTTGTTACACCTCCCAGTACAGCACCAAAACCTGAGGCACAGGCATTAGCCAGCATGTGCCACTTCCACTGCCCTTTGCGTTTCAGCCTTCTCCCCAAGCTGGCCGTGGTGCCAGCCTCTCCTGGCAGAGGTGCGAGCTGGGATAGGGGACAGGATTACATCATTTCTCCACATGCAGAAGGCATGGAGGAGACAAGCACTGTGCAAGCCAAAGGACAGTGTGCTTGCTTGCATGCTGAGCCCCTCTAAGAGGATGCTGTGACCCTCACAACGTTTCAGACCAGTACCTGGCTTTTCCAGTTGTCAGGCAGTGGGATGTGGTGATTTGGCCCACTGATTTCCCCACTGTAGTACATGAATGTGTTGAGGTCAGGGAAGTTGCGATTCAAGTCCACTCCGTTGGCGTTGTTCCTCCCTGTCAAGTATCCATTGCTGTCTGGGCCCTGTGGAGCACAGGTGCATCACGGGTGTGAGTACAGGGTGGGTGTCAGGACAATGGGGACTGGCCATCCTAATGGTGCACCAGCGCCTTTGAGTCATAACATGCATGCTGGGAAGGGACTCTTCATTAGGGACTGTAGTGACAGGACAAGGGGTAACGGGCAAACTTAAACAGGGGAAGTTTAGATTGGATATAAGGAAGAAATTCTTTCCTGTGAGGGTGGTGAGGCACTGGAACAGGTTGCCCAGGGAGGTTGTGAATGCTCCATCCCTGGCAGTGTTCAAGGTCAGGTTGGACAAAGCCTTGAGTGAGATGGTTTAGTGTGAGGTGTCCCTGCCCATGGCAGGGGGGTTGGAACTGGATGATCTTAAGGTCCTTTCCAACCCTAACTATTCTATGATTCTATGATTCTGTGTTATTGCTGGTAGGAGAATAAAGAGTATTGGTACTGACAGGGAAAGTCAGTAACAATATCTTAATTTTCCAGGGTGACAGAGCAAGGCACAAGCCAAATAAATGATTTCAACTTGCTTCAACTGAAGGACTCATGAATAAAATACCTCCATGAGGTCTAGCAGTGCAAAAGCATGGATGAGCCTTCAGAAGGAGGGTTAGAGGGCTTCTCCCCTGTCCCATCCGTCTTTGCCTGCTCATGACAGTGGCATTCAGCTGCCACTTCCTCAGCCTGGGGCAGGAAATTCACAGTGACCCTCCCGTGACAAAGAACTCCTGGTGAGTCAGGTGAAGGAAGCCTCCTCCATCACCTGCCAGGGCTACTTGTGGTGGGACACAGAGCCCTTGCCATGAGCAGTGAGAAGCAGTGACGCTGACTGGGTGGAACACATTTGGCAGGGCATGGAGAGCAAGGATGCCCCCTCCCCATAGCCACAGTGAAGGAAGGGGATCCCACAGGGATTTGAAGGGCTTTCTGCCCCTACCCGGCTGGAGGACGTGATCGCTGCCTGGTACCTGCTTGGCAGCCACTTCGTACCCGTCGGGGTTCATGGAGGGCATGATGTGGATGCGTGTGTCGTGGATGAGGCGGGTGATCCGCTCGTTGCCCCAGCGGTACTCCTCGCACAGGAACTCGGAGAGCTGCAGCAGCAGCTCACGGCCCAGCACCTCGTTCCCATGCATGTTCCCAACATACTTGAACTCAGGCTCCACTGGAGACAGCAAGAGAATGACACCAATAATCAGGACTGGGATGGGGGGAGGAGTCAATTCCTACTGCAGGGAGCACACGTAAGCCCAGGGGACCCCCAATAAATGCTGTGAAGTGGCCCTTTCCCTTGGAAAATGCAAACATCAGTGAGGAAGAGTGGCACAGTGCCCATATGGGCTCCCCTCCATTTTGCCACAGCCCAGGCTTTCCACTGGGTTGCTGCTTGCCTTCGGAGAGCACAAGAGGATGTGCTTGCAGCTGCTCTGGTCACAGGCTGGGAAGAGGCAGCACATAGGAACCAGGGAGCACGGGCAATATTGCTGCTGTTCTGGGGTGCCGGGGCCTCCCAGCTCTGCAGTGGGTGGCAGGGGAGGGGACATTTCTTCCACCTCTGCCCTTCACTATTTGCTCTCAGTGCCCCTCACCTACATGGCACATTCCTTGTTCTGCGTGCTTGAAGGAGCTTTTCATTACCCTGCAGGATAAAATCAATCTCTGGCTCAGGGTAAGCCATGCTCTTTCACTAGAACTTGCCTCTGTCCGTGGCTGCCAGCCCTGACTCCTGTGCTAGTGGGAGGCAGCAGTGGTTTCCTCTCCCCATCCCCTCTACCTACCTCAAAGGAAAAGGCTTAGGGGCTTCCTCACCCTCAAAGGACAGGAACAAGAGCCTGAAGAAACCCTCAGCAGCTGGGTTGAATCAAACTGTCCCTCAGGCAGCTCCAGTATGAACAGAAAGGTCTCTTGCCACTGTCTTTTCTAAAATGAGGTCTCAAAATACAGACTTGGAGACCACAGGCAGGCAGTGCCCGGAGCAGGACTCGCTGCTCTGCTGAAAGAGAGGCAGCACACATGAGGAATGGGTTATGTTTTCCCAAGGGGTCTTTTAAAGCAGTTACTTGTAGGAAAAGAAAATGTCCCATTGCAGGCTGGAGTCACCACTGGTAGGATGAAAGAGACATGGGGAATTCAGTTAGAAAGGAAGCCTGATTTTCACATGAAAGGCTCAGGGAAAAATAGGGTGTTGTTATAAATGTTGGCTTGCCAGAGCTTGAGATTCCCATTGTACTGTGAGATTTCTGGCCACCAGCAGTGCTCAATCAGACTCACAGTGACACTGTGCAGCCTTGCTGCCACATATGGTGTCCGTCAGGATCCATGGGGCAAAAGGCACCACAGCCCCATGTTGGGCATCTGCTGCTTCCAAAATGCACCTTTGCTGTGTGTGGAGGAGACAATGTATCCAGACATGTTGAAGACAGGTTCTAAAACAAATTAGAATTTTGGCAAAAGATTTTGCTTTTCCATATCTTTTAATCGCTCTGCTTCAGCGCAGGACACCACAGGTGGGCAGCATGTTTTGACCTGGTTAAATTTCAGGGACATGAGACTGATTTAATTGGATAATCCAGTTATAAAAGCTATAAAAACGTCCTGGGGATATGTGCAGCTTTTACAGAAAAAAACTAAGTTTTCAGCAGGGATTCTCCTTCTCTGCTTTGTTGGAGTCTGCAGCAGGACTTGTCAGCCTTTTTTGATATGCAGACCCCTAAACACTATCCATGTGGACACACAAGCCCTAATTACCACACGTAAGCCCACTAACTCTAGCTGGCTTTCTGGAGTTACTTTCTGTGGCCTTCAAGGGAGCCCACAGTTTCCTAAAGTCTTCGTGCTACAAGCTGAAAGCGCCAGTCTGAGCGTGGCCCAGGCTCTGAGGAAGGCCACAGGTCCATGCTGGCTACCTGAGGCGGGGAGACCTCGGTCACCTCCTGCCACCCTTCCAGCTGCTCTGCTGTGTTTCTGCAAGTCTAACATCCACTATTGCACTGCCAGTGCCCTTTGCTCACTTCTTGCTTTGAATCAGCCCCTGATGCACTGTGGAGGTGCCCAAGGTGTCCTCAGCACCGTGCAGGTTTCCCTGTATGGAACAGGGCTGATGCAGAGGTGGTCAGGGTGTGAAGCCTCCCATCCCACCTCCTGGCACCCCTGAAAGTGATACTCTAGCTGCAGGAGGGGAGCAGGGTGCCCCCGGTGCAGCGTGTCTTTGGGCAAGCCATGGGGTGTTGGGGGGCTTGGGGGGGGCTGCTCCATTGAGGGGGACAGAGGTATGGGTCCTGCTCACCCTTGCAGTGCTGCTGGCTGTTTTCCATGTGACATGGCTGCCTGGACTTGTCAGCCCCTGCTTTTAACCACACCAGCCAGGATCCGAAAAAGCAAAGGATCCTGCAAAAAGCAGGCAGAGCCCTGTCTGCGTCTGCGGCCCAGGGGCACGAGGTGGGGAAGCGCAGGAGTCCTGTGTGCACAGCCCCATCCCAGAGAGCCGGCTGGACCCCTTAGGCCCCTCAGAGGCACCTGGCTGCCAGCAAGGTCTGGCTCAGCCGTGTCTTCCATGCTGCACAGGCAGCAGCTCAAGGGGCTATTGCTGCCAAGGCTCTGCAGGGCCACGTGGCAGCAGGCAAGAGATCCCCGAGAGTGGCCTGTCACAGGGGCTGCACAGCCTGCAGGGATGGTGCGAATGGAGGAGCCCAGAACCCACTCTGCTGTGGTCCCACACTTGATGCCCCCCGCTCTGGGGTCTGAAGGATGAAAGGCTGCACTTTTCCCTCCTGCCACTATCCAGCAGTGAAAGGTGAAAGGTGGGCGCTGCCTCTCCCTGCCTGCACAACCCTGTTTTGGGAAGGCGAGGATGGCAGGGCATGTGGGGTGCTGGGATGGACTTGCCTGGGTTCTCATGTTAACTTGCACTGAAAAACCAGAGCTCCGTCCAAAGTACGCGCCTGTGCCACGCTGCGGCTCACGGAAGCATGGTGCATGCATGTGGGCTTTTCATGGGTGTCCTTGGACTGGCTGGGGGTCCCTGCCGGAGCTGGCACCGCCTGACATTGCCTGGAGTACAGGCTCGAAAGGGAGAGACCCTTGACAGTGCCGCATGGCAGGGAGCATGGTGACGAAGCCTGGCCTCTCCAAACCACCATCCCCAACCCCCATACTTACGGGGCTCGTGGATGCCTGGGTAGTCACTGAACTCCAGCACGTAGAGGTGTCGGCCCTCGACGCTGCGGCCGATGCTGTAGATGCGGGTGACGTAGGGGCACTGGCTCTGCACGCGGAACAGGGCCTGCACCATCTCCTCATAGCGATGGTGGAGGAAGCTGAGGGCGGCCGCTCCCTCGAGCAGGAGCAGCGCTCCCACGAGGGACCGCAGCCACCGAGTCATCCTCCCGCGGCGCTGCGCGCCCGCACCAGCTCCGGGCCCCCGGCTCCTTCCCAGCCGGCAGCTTAAAGTGCAAACTCCAACCAGCTCTTTCCAGTTCCGAGTGCCAGCCCCCTGCACCTGCGGGCGGGGGGCGGCGGGAGCGGGGCTCGCCGGGGCCCCGCGGCACAGGAATGCTCCCCCGCCCGCCCGCCGCCGAGCCCCCTCTCCGCCGTCGGAGAAGGTTCCCCCCCTGCTCCAGCTCACTTATTAACCGGACTGTAAACAGGCCCCCGCAGCCGCTGGCTGTCACTGCAGAAGAAGCGCAGGGCTGGAAAACTGGCTGCGGAGGGTACTGGGGCTGCCAAGAGCAGGACAAGCGGCGGGGCGGGGGAGTGCGGAGGGGGCGGCGGATGGGGAATGCCCGTCGCCGAGCCCTTCCGTGGGACCCGAGCCGAGCGGGGTGAGGATGGCGGCAGGGCGGCCCCGGTGTCCGCACGGCTCCCGCAGCCCTGCCCGGCGCTGGCGGGTCCCGCCGCTCCTCCGTGGGTCCCGGACGCCAGCTCGGAGCCGCGCCCGCTCATCTGCCCCATCCTGGGGAAGCAGAGGGAGGGATCGCAGCCGGCTCCTCTGCCCAGGCAGTCCCGCTGCTCCGGGGCAAACGGAGGCAGGGACAGCATCGCCCTCCCCACAGCTGCCTACCCAAGCAGCCGAGCCAGTATGTTGCAGGGGGAGGACAGGGCAACGTAGCGTTTTGAGGCTAAAGTCGTCTGCTGTGCAGGTTCCAGCACGGAGAGCTCTGCTCGGAGGTCTGGTCTCACCCTGCTGTGTGCTGGGATACTGAGCTCCAACAGGCACTGGACAACTATCAGCAGAAGAGAGCTCAACAGCTTAAGGGCAGATGAAAATGCTCGACTGTCTGTTAAGAAATTACAGGCTGTTTCTGGATTTGGGGGAAGCTTGTTCCTCTCCGTCACCTCGAGGTCCCTGTGCTCCTCTCAGGGGCAGCCTTGCTCTGCAGCCTTACCCCGTGGGGCTACAACTCCAGCAGCTTAGTGGCTCTGGAAAACATCTGTATTAGGACATCCCTGACACAGAACCCAAACATGAGCACAAGCAGCCAAAAGATTTACTGCCATAGCTGGACATGTGAGGAGAGAAGCTCCCTTTGCTAACATGAGTGTGCCATGCTGCTCTGCCCGGCTCACACTAGAAAGGAGCTCCTCTTGCCATCAGCAATGGGATTCTCAGAATACTCAGTGCCATGCTAAACATCCCGCCTTCCCTGCAGCCTTGACATGGATCCACACTGCACTGCTCTAATGACAAGGATTGCTGTAGCTGCCTCTTCCCCCAACAAAGCATTCTCTACCAGTGCTGCCCAGCACTGCTGCTTTCCTACCTGTCCTCCACATCTGCTTGGGCCACCGATCACCTTTCTGCCTCAGTTTCCCATGAAGAGCACCAGTAAAACCAGGGAGCCCTGTTCATAGGATCTAACACAAACAGTGCAGGTTGGTGGGCAAAGCACATGGCTTGCCTGCTCCTGCCTTGGCTTACTCAGACTTTCCTACTTCCAACTTTATTCTGTCACAGTCCACCATAACGGTTCTTTCTCTCCTTGTCCCTGCGCCTGCTTGGTTTTCTGCCTCATCTGCACAGTACCCTCCTCTCAGTCATTTCTCCCCCCCCAAAAAAGAGAAAAAAGTCCTGGTTTTGAACAAATGTCTCTTGAAGATATGAGAGAAAAAAAATACTGTATATAAAGACAGCAGTGGCCATATTAATACCTTCTCCCAGTTAATCATCCCACCATATCCCTGCTTGTCAGCCAGTCTCACACCTTCACGAGCAGGAATGGCATTGCACCATCTTTAACCGGGTGACAAGAAGCAGTGCTGGGGTGCCAGCTTCTGCTAGCACTTTAGGAAACCAAGGAAAGGTAGCTGAGGCTTTGGCGGGGCATAGGTGAGCGTGGGTATGGTAGGACAGCTCTTATCTCTACAGCAAGCTGTATCTGGTGGTATTCTCTGGAGCTGGTAGCTCATACAGCAGTGGGAAATGCCCTTGCTTCTTTCACATCGCTGCTCTCAGGGCTGCTGTGTTCCTGTGGAGCTGCTCTCTCCCCAGCTTTCAGTGACCAAGGCAATGCAAAAGAGGTGGGCAGGGTTCCAGCGCTAGCCAGTGTTACTTGGCAGCCAGCGAGTGCTAGGCAGGGCTATAGTAAAACAGCACAAACACCCATGTTTGGTCTGTTTTCACCCTCCCCATACCCTTCCCAGGCTGTTTTGAGTATCCTGGTACAGCAGTGGCAGAGCTGGAGCTGCAGTGCTGCCAAGGGACACATGAGAAAGGCTCTCACTTTCCTATGGAGACAATCAAAACCGATGTGAGAAACAACAGAAAAGAGAAATGCCAGACCATTCAATCCTGAAAGGGAGCCATGAGCAAACTCTGGGGTGGGTGTAGAACGAATCTCACGCACTACTAGGCCTGGAGAATTGATCAGTGTTTTCTGTCGTGTAGGGATGGAGGCAACATGTTATCAGGCAGCAGGTTTAAATCAAACAGAAGGAAATAGTTTTGCACACACTGAAATTACCTCATCAAAGCTGAAAGTTATATGAGTGCAAAAGAGCATAGGATGAACTCGTAGAGAATGGGGCAGCTACAGCTATTAGTTATGCAGATCCAGAAGTAATTGTTTGCTCATAAATTTCCTATGCCACTGATGACTAGAAGGATCATGTCCCTTTTCTAGCTCTCCATCTGAATCCTCACACACCACTCAGCTGGAGACCAATGCCAATGCACTGCATGTCTGATCTGACCTAACACAATTCTTACTACATTCTAGGAAAACAACATGGTAATGAAGTTTCAAGCCAATATTAAGTTTTGACATGTTAAAAAACACTGATGAAAGCAGAAACAAATGATATAAGACATTAGGTCTTAGAAACAGTGCAAGAAATAAACAAAGACTTAATTTGGAAAATGCAGCTAATACATCTGGGATGGATCATCTGCTTCCCACTCCCAGATGTTCAAAGATGGAGAGAGACCTTGAGGCGGTGGGAGAAAGAGGGCAAGCAGGAGCGTGTTGTGCCACAGTGGCGCAAGTGAGAAGAATGCAGATGTGATCCCCGTCCCATCCTTGGTTGCGCAGCAGGGAGTTGCAGGCAGCAAGGAACCAATCCCTCCAGAACTGCCCATGGAAAGATTCCACCTGGTGCTTTTGCTTTAATTCTAGCTGTACTGTTACAAGAGGAAGATTGGAAACTCTGAGGAGAGTTGAATCTTAGAGCCGTAAGAGCTAAGAGCAAACTGGGGGAGTGCGTGGTGAAAGGAAAATGAACGTGACAAGCGTGTTTGCCTTGGCAGACATACAGCTCTGGCTGCACGCAGAGGCAGGCAGGCACGTGGGCCTGTGAACCAGGGGCACAGCCCCCCCATCCTTCACTTTTTGGGGGGAGTTTAGTGCCGGTGTGATTCTGGTGGTGCTGCCTCACGGAGAGAGAGGAAAATGAGGACAGAGGACTGTAGCCATCAACTGCATGACAGGGGATGACAGGCTGTTCTGGGGAGGTCAGAGTAAAGCTAAAGCAAGAAAAGATGGGGTTTGGGCACTAGCAGCCTTCTGGTGAGCAAGTCCACCTGTGTGAGGTGCCCAGAGCTTGGTGTGGACCAGAGTGCCTTTCTCTGCCAGGAGAGGATGCTGCCAATCCACCAGGAACTTCATATCCAGCCCAGGAGAACAGCAAGGAACTGGCAAGAGAGGAAATCCCATCTCAGGACTTTTCCATGTTTAGTGCCAGAGGCTCCATTCCCAGTACTGGAGAGTTCCCGTCTTCTGGAAAACAGCACAAAACTTTTCTGGCATCAGTTCAGAAGTCTTTATTATGATAAGGATACAGAGACTTGTGCGTGCATTGAAACAAAGATCCATTTTACCAGGACTGAACTGCAAAAAGCAAGCACATGGGCTGGGTAGCAGGGACTGTTGTCCTCGGTGTGCCTCCCCCAGCCCCTCCTGCGAAGGCTGTTGAGCCCCATGGTACAGCCGGCAGCTCTGCAGAGCCTGCACACCCCCCTGGCACAGAGCATGGGAAGAATTGGGATGGAGAAGGAGGGAGCACACATCCATCTGAGAGCTGTTCTTGGAGAAGCTGGGGAGCCCTGGCCAGCACCAACACTGCAAATCAACCTCTAACCACAGAGGTGATGACCTTGCTTCCGAGAGCTTTCTTACAAGTGGAGGCTCCACTGTGCTTTGCTGTAGGGCCAGAGAAATCAGCTGTAGCCTGTGCAGAGGAGAGCTCTCTGTGTTGAGGAGAGTGAAGGGCACTCAGACCCTGCAGTGGGGACTGGTTGTTTTCTGCCAGAGCTGTTCGTGCTGCAGGCACCCATCCTCTTGTAAGTACTGATGGTTTTGCCTCACACCTGACACTTGGGTGACAGTGCGAGAGCTTGTGGAAGTCATCAGTCCCAGAAAGACCAGAGCTGCTCCTGCACCCTGCAAAAAGCTATCAAATCCTCCTGCCAGGACCCTTCCCAAAAATGGACCACTCAGTGTTTTAACCCAAACTAGAGACACTCATCCCACCGCGCTGCAGCACATCTCAGGGCTTCCTGTGGCAAAACAGGAGACACCAACGTCTGGAATCAAAGCAGCCCAGCAGAGCGGATAGTGAAAAAATACTTGCAAGACAAGAACACGTGGTGTTAAAAGATGCTTTAACCCAGAAGAGCAAAACTGTACAGGAGCCAGTGACTGGAAATTAAAGCCAGAAGCTACCAAATCAGAAATAAGGCACAGATAATTATCAGTGAGGCAGATCAACTGCATTAACAAGTGATACCATATTATTACTGGCATATTTGGAAATTCCCCCCACTATCATTAATGACCTTCACATATGCTTTGGGTAGCTCTGCAACAGACATTTCAGAGGCATACAGCTGGGTCAGATGCAGCACAGAAGCAAAGAAATTAATGTTTATTAAACTTGAACTCTTTGACCAAGAAATTTGAATAGCCTCCATGGACAAAGTCCTTCAATAGCAGGAGAAGTGGGGAGAAAAATCATATGCTTTTCTCTGAAGGTTCAAGAACAGCCATTGATATGCAAGGGTATATCAATACCTGGGTATTCAGGGTACATCATCCCTGATAGGATGCCTTCAGTCAACCAGTTCCTGGAGCCTCAGCCTGCTCG